GAAGGAAGGAGGACAGGAATGAAAAACTACTGGGTACTATGCTCAGTACTTGAGTGACAGGATCAACTATACCTCAACTTAGCATCACACAATATACGCAGTTAACAAGTCTGCATACATTCCCCCTGAATATAAAACAAAATTGAAATTATTAAAAAAAAAACAGAACGTGTTTATATAGATGTGTTCATAAATAGGAATACAAGTTGAATTAAAATTAGACATTTTATGCTACGGAGTAAATTATAAATAAAAGATTTTATGAAGAATTCTGAATGATTGAGAATGTAGGTATCATTGTTATTTATTTTTTTAAAATTCATAGCTTTGGAGGCATTTTAGGGAGTCTGTTTAATACATCCTGTCAATCAACAGTCTCTAGGGTGGATCACTGCTGTAGGGCTGTGCTGTGCTTCATGCTTTTTAATGCTGTGGAAGAGTGAAGCTTTGATGGTTGAGAATCTGCCTACAGATAGTAAATGATGGCTCTGAATGTATTTTGCTGACCAGTTTTATAAATTACATTTTCTACTCAAATAAAAATATCCTAAAAGTACAGAGTTCAATAGCAAAAATTAGCCTTTAATATATTTAATCCTTTTGTCAAAACTTTAGAGTCTGTTTAGATGTTTCCACTGTGAGTTATGCCCTTATTATAATAATCTTTGTGATGATGCAAAATTAAAGTTTTTTTTTAACCAGTGTTTTTATTCAAGCATAAGCAAAAATGAGGAGAAATGTAGGATACATGTTTATTGATTTCACTGACAAGTGTTTACTAAGTATTTACTTACATACAAGACATTGGAGATGCTAAGCCATATGTTAAAAGCTATAATCTCTACCACTAAGGTGTTTGCTCTTGACTGGGGAGATAGCATGAGCTCACAGAAAAAAAAAAAAAAATCAATAGAAGTTAGTGAACTAGAAAGTCTGATATGTGACATGGTATTGTGGGTATTCATATAATTGAAATAATACTTCAATAATGAAAAATCTAGGAAGGTTTAGATAAAAGAAAATTTTGGGGTGAAAGGGGAAAAGGTGTATACAAAGGCATAGTCATGGTAAGCCATACAAGATATCAAGGATGTGTTGTAACATCTCTTTTATGAAGTATTATGAACCGCTATGGGCATTGCCTTAGAAACAACAGAATATCTTCTGTATCTACAATGAGCCTGAAATTTTTTTGAACATTACTTTTTGTGAAATAAACGTCTAAATAAGGATTGGGACCATCCTGAGTGGACTGAAGAGTGGGTGAAAGATTTGCCTTGGGTATCTACTTATGCACAGGACATTGGAGATACAAAGCAATGCGTTAAAAGGCAATAACCTCTGTTGTCAAGATGTTTACTCTTGGTTAGGATGAAAGACCTTAACCACAGAGGGTATCTCTGAGTCCAAGGTCTGTATTCTTCCAATGAAAATGTACCTTTCTTTCTGTGTGTGACTTTAGACCAGATATGTAGAAAACTTTGGTTTGATTGCCTTCTCTTACCCTGTTGGTGAAGGAGGGATTCCCACCCTTAGGATTATAGCAATGGCTGAACATACTACACTCAACACTGGGTGCAAATGAGATTTATTAGTTATATTTTATTAACAATTTATTAATTACATATATTCACAGCCTGGGGAAGAAGGTCATTGAATAACAGGCATGGCTAAATGAGGATTGCACTTGGGAAGAGAGTGAACAAATGGGGGTTGTGGGAGGCTGGTTTTGTAGTAGTAAGAGGGTGGGTATCCCTTGGTTCCTGTGGGAGAGTGTGACTAGATACTTTCAATAATTCTACAGGCTGTCAGGGAATTGAAACCTGCTATTGAGGAATAAACAGGAATTGCATTTGGTCTATTTGATAAGGAGGGTTGTTCCCCTAAGGGACGATATATGCAGAAGGAGAATGAAGAGAACTAGAGATTGGGCTATTTGAGACTTGGGGATTCAGACAAGGCAGCACATATGTTAATTTTAGGACTTTCACTGCACCCTTATGTCACTGTAAGCTAGATTTATCTTTTATTTGTGTTCCTCAAAAAAGTGTTTATTTTTTGAGTGAAGGTAGGAAATCCTGACTATGACTATGCATGTTCATCTTCTTTTATGTTTCCTATACTTATCATTCTGTTCTTATCATTTTCCTTATTTTTAGATTGATTTTTTTTTCTTATTGGCTACTCCCAAAAATCAGCTCCATAAGAAAAGGGGAACTTTTTGTTATCTTATTTGTTGCTGTGTTCCCAGTGGCTATGATGTTTTCTGGCACATAATATTAATAGTTGCTCAATGAATTTTGTCAAATAAAACAAATAAGCATAGTTTTAAACTATAGACCTGACAGTATTTTTATCTGGCTATTGAGTCTTTTCTCAACAGATTAATACACGAAACATGTATCAAAAAATTTTCCTGTGACACCTTCTATTCTTGAAATACAGTTTCTACCATTAAATAACGTAAAGTCTTAAGGAGGAGAAAAATTAGTAAAAATACAATTATAATACTTGATAACAATATCTATGAGAAAAATGAACACAGAAGTTTGGGGACCTTACAGGTGAGGCTGTACTTGAATAATCAGAAAGGAAATGTTCATTTACTTTCTAATCTATATAATGTAATCCCTCATCTTCTTTTAGATACTTATTCCTGTTTTCTGTACTTGTTAAAGACATAAACTACTAACAAAGATATATCTTAAATTTTTGTAACAAAATTTAAGACAAAGGATCACATTGCAAAATTTGTTTTTTAACTTTAATATTATTTTATTCACATAACAAATAAAGTAAAAAATTAATGTAAGTAATAAAAGGTGTGTCTAGCATATGTATTTTCTACCTATTTCATTTATAGCTATTGAATTTTTTCAGATACATTTTTAGTCAGTCAGAATGGGTCCTACAGGGTAGGTGACTTGCTAAGTGCCTTCCTCTGATATCAGAGATTTGAAAAGATTTTTTCCATCTGTCTCTGTGCACTTTCCAGAGGTCTGTGTTTACAAATAGAGGGCAGAGTCTGAGATACTGTTTAGTATAATTCCAATTCTTTTATGGCCTTATTTATGCCTTTCGGCAACATAGACTAGGACAGAAGCATCACTGAAAGGTGAGTTTATGTTCTCGTATATATCCCTAGTTTCCCCTGTTTGAAAATTTAAGCAGAAAATTTATAGGAGTTAAGTAAAAGTGCTCTGTAGGGAGTCTTAACATTTTTCATAGTGTAATAGAAACATATTGAGGCTGTGTTCCTTCTGTTTGAAGGCAATCTTGGGATTTAATCATTTTGTAAATTAAAGAAAGAAATTGATACTGTAAATTTATCCCAGAATTCAATAAAGGTAAGAGTGATTGCTGCAAAGGAGGTATCCATATAAGAAATAATTTTATATTAACCTAAAATATAAGCTGTAATTTTTTTCCCATGAGCTAAAAATATATTATCTAGATTGGTACTAGCTTTATTAACATTTGTTTGACAATATAATCCTAATTGAATATGGATCCATTTATTTTGCATGTTTTGAGCATGGCATTTAAGATTAGAGCATACACTTAAAATCCTTTGAATTATGTGATTTAAAGAATTGGGAGATTTGGGTTACTTTAGCATATTTGAAATCTGTTCCATCTTTCATCCAGTTTTTGTTGTCATTGCCCCTAGGTAAGAAGGAAGTTGTGTAAGAAAACCAAAGAGAGGCCAGCTAGGTGGGGGTAGGCTTTGAAGCCACAAAATTGATCCTACGCTTTTCAAAGAGAAATATATTTCTGAATTTTTTTCTTTTATACATTTTTTTTCACAACTCATAGGTGAAAATTGGAGATCAGAGTGTCCTTCTCTCATTCTATGTGTCTTTCTCTCATATTCCCTGACCCTCCAACAATCCCACCTTTGTTGCTTACTTACTTACTTACCTATTTCTCTTATTTGTTCATCGTGTTCTCTATGAGTGATACTGGAAAAGACTAATTTTGAGATTACCAAAGTATGTCTCTTAAAACTTTAGTTATTTGCTTCTGTCTTTTGCACATAAAACAACTATCAGCAACACCTTTATTTCTTTAGAGATGGCTGTTTCCATTAAAACTTCTTACATGAAAATTATTTCAATTATTGTTTTATTAAGTTTTCTTTTGAAACCAAATGTAAATGGTAGCTCTTTTCTTCAGAGTTATGTTTGGGGGCTGTTTGATTTTGGTCTGCACATTATTCTTTCATGCCCTCTAATGGTAGTTTGAGGAAACTCCTACTGAAAACACTTGTAAGAAATTAAACATAGAAAAATAAACAAGAGATCACTCAAAGATTTTAATATAAATAGCTTTCACATGCCAGATAGTCTTGCCGTGGGAAAAAGACCATATATTCATTTTCTAAACTTTGGAGAGTAGATTTTTTTTGTTGGTTTGCCACAGTTTTTAAGGAACTTCTTTATTTGGATGATTATTTTTAAAATGTTATTTCTAATTGTTTTTTAAATTCTTATTGATTCTCTTTGGTTGATAAATATTTTCCAAAGTTTTTATTTGCTTTGGAATTAGGAAATATATTTTTATGTATATTCACACATAGGTAGAAATACTATTTTTACAAATTAGTTTTGTGTTTATTACTAAATATGAATGGGGATGAGGAATGAAAAGATTCAAAACTTCTTTTTCAGCCTTATAACATTTCTTGTAATGGTATTACAGAATAAATCTAGACCATGGTGCTAAAATACCATTGCTGTTCAGTTTCGGCCCCGTGTGTTTAGAGAACAGCTAGTAAAGGTGGCCTGGATATCAAACATCCTGTCCCCACACAGAACATTCATGTTCAGGGTTAAAAGACCACAAGGAAAAATTTCATCACATCTTCAAAAATGTACTTACATCAGCTGGTTCCAGCTACATATCATAAGCAGGTGGGGTTTTTTTTAAATTGATTTCTCTTTTTGCTTCTCATTTTTGCTGTTCTCCTCATGTTGCATCCTTTCCAGCTATAGACTGTTACCATATATATAGCAGCAGTTTTTATGCCCCAATACCGTTACTGAAATGTGGCTTTTGTTTTTGATGATGGCGGAAAACAGAATGAAGGCATCTGCATACAGGTTGGAAGAGAACATTTTCCCTCTGTATGTCATGTTTTGTGAGCCCTTATTGATTGACTTAAAAGAATTAACACTATTTCTTCAAAACACTGTTAGAAATTTTTCTTGTCTGTAGCGTAACCTGGAGTAATACTTATAAACATTAGTACAAGCAGATATCATTAAAAATATACCCTAAAAATGTATTTATAAATTTTTTGTCTCCGTACCAAAACGTAAAAGTTCTGTGAATATCATAATATTACATTACATTTTGAAATATTATCCAGAATTATATATAGATTTAAAGTAGGTTGAAAACACAAGAGCTCTTTGAGCCAGGGGATGCAGTGCTAATTACAATAGCAACTGTATATTGAACACCTACAATGTACCAAGCTCTATAGAACTAATCTCTTGTCTTTACCTCAACTGCAAAAACAAGTAACTGTTCTCATTGGGCTCATGAGAACATTTAGGCTTAAAAAGGTGGAGTGACTTGTACAGGGTCATAGTGCTATTAAGAGTTAGACCTGAGTTGATCTGATGCCACTGTGACTTTAGTGACAATGTTTTGGGAGAGGGCAGAATAGGTTCTTGAGTTTGATTCTCTGTTTTCTCTCTGTTATGGTTCATGACTTTTAAATGACCTTCTTTAGCTTTAAATTTGTATTTATATTTGAGATAACAGACAATAATGCTTATGAATTAGATCTTCGTAGTTACACCTGGATTTGAATTTGGGTGAGCCAGTCCCTACCCATGAAACATCCAGTGAATAAAGTAATCCCTTCTCATGTGTAAAAAGAGGTAATAATAGTGATGGTTTCACAGGAATTTTACGAAAATTAAATAAGATAGACTGTCTAGGTAATGACAAATCCTTTATAAATGAGGGCTACTGTTTCTGTTGATATTTTTGAATTCTATTGTCTTATTTTGAGGATTAATGATTATGCTTTAATACTAGGCAGTGAAAAATATATATTGTATTAGAATATGATTATCTATCTCTTTATAACTGCAGTTATTGCTATGAAGCAATATTTTATTCCATTTCATCACTGAATAAATAAAAGCTCAAAAATAAATTTTGATTTATGTTAAAAAGAATTAAACCTAAGGTTCTTATTTTGATCCATTTTTTTAACTAGTCACTATTATTTTCAAAAAGTAGATTCCAATAAGCTACTGCTTAACTAATGTCGCCTCTTTCTCTTTCTGTCTCTCTCTCTCTCTCTCTCTCTCACACACACACACACACACACACA